GTTTTCAATGTCAGCTCTTCAAAAACTTTCATTCAGTTCATCATGCTTACTATGCATCTGGCCATGAGTATTACTGAGTGTAGTGTTCATAGCTGGGTAGCTAAAATTAATGCATTTTTTTTTATAAATTGCTGAATTTCTGTGTCTCCTGTTAGCACAGGAGTTATAGGAAGTACATAATGGAAAAATGATGTTATCTTTAGTCATCTCACTACTTTTTAAGGAAGACTTGTACTACAGGAAAAAGCTCATCAAATGTAAATGAACAGTTAGGACTTTCCACTTGAATCCTGAGGAGTGTTTCAGACATCATGAGGTTAAGTCTGACCTCTTCAATTTTTCATCTTATTTTAAGAAGTAAATACCAATCATCATCAGTTTTTCATACAGTAACTGCAGATGTCTGAATAAATTCTAGTAATAATTGCACTCTTTTTCCATTGTCTGGATACTAGCTGCACTAGTGTGCTTTGACTTTGGAGTTTTGAGTCATTTCATCCACCATTTGAATGTGACAGTCTGGAATACAGGATTTCAGCAGTTGAACAGTGCATAGCACCACAGAAAAGCAGAGCATATCATTTCCCTTTAAAGTATGACAGAAATTGTATGGGCAGAACATAGATTATCTGAGGGTGGTGCTTGACAGAAAGATCCAAATGCAGCCTTCAGTTATGATAGATGTCCACAACTAGGATTGACTGCCTATCTTAGTAACTGGAAAAATATGTTTACATAGACTGTATATGATGAGAAACTAAGAAGTAAATAAAGCAGCATTTGCTTTTGGTCTGTTGTCGAACTAAGATATTTGGCATAGTGCATTCTAAGGATTATGGCTGTGTGATGATTATGCTTTACACGTGCAAAGGAGGATGCCAATTTATTGTTGGGTTGTACTGTCTGGGTATTAGAGGTTTTGATTAGGTTTTCATTTGGAGGATACATGAGGGTTAGGTGAGCAGTAGAAGATAAATAAGGGAAGACTTGAAAGGTCTTCTGCCAGGAAGGGAGGCTATCTAAGTCAGTAAGGGTCAAAAATGTTGCAGAGTAAAGACAATGCATGCTGGACAGTGCCTTTTGAGTATGTCTAGAGATACCCATTCTGAATTTGCCATGTAGAAAAGCATAGGTTTGCAGATGATTTTTGTAGGAAAATCTGTTCAAAGGGAACTGAAGGTATGGTCTCTCGTCTTGCCTGTCATTTCCACATGTCATCAGATGGTATCTGATACATCCTCTCAATGGCAGCAGCACCATTTACTACCAGCCCTGTTAAACATGTATGGACAGAAATTCACACATTTATAAGGTCATATGATTTCATTCTGTCATATCTGTATTTTTTAAAGCATATTGCATATTATTGCTTTTTATTTTCAGTTTCTAAAACAGATCAACACAAAACAAGAAGTATGAAGATAACTCAGTGCTTTGCCAGGCAGATGTGGTATTGTGCTCTCTGTTAGATTCAATTCAGGATTAACTGGATAAAATTTTCATCTCCATTCACCAGGGGATCAGAGTTGGTGATTTAATAGCTCCTTCTGGTTGTACAAATGGATTGACAAAACATTCAAGTCCTCTAATTGGTCTGCTGAATCCATACTTCACGCTTACCATAAGGTAGTACCTCAGTGAATAATAACTGTCTTAAGTGACAATATAAACAGTCTTCCAAGACTCTTTCTGAAGCATTTATAGTAACAGGCTACTGACTACTAACCTTGATTTATTGCAGTCTATTCCCTAGAATGAACCATTCCAACTGTTCCCACATTTCAGTTAACATTTATGGGTTTCTTTATTTGCAAATAGAAGTCTATAAGGGAATGGATCTATCAGAAGCCAGCCAGTAAGGGTGGGAGAATGGGAGAAGCATGGGAGCACTTCTCAGATTACAGTGTCAGACACAGCAAAGCATGTTGGTGGGTGTTTGGAGCTGCAGACCTGAGGACAACAGGGCGTGGGATGGGAAGGTGACACTAGTTCTCCAAACAGCCCTTTGGACACCTGCTGCCAGTGGTTGGTCATGCATGGCTGGGGGTTCTCTGGCACAAGCAAAGCACCTCTACCCAGAGGAGAAAGCAGACTGGAGGCCTCATCTATTCAAGAACCCTCTTTTCAAAGTCTGAACAGCCTTCAGCTCTGCTCTTGATATTCAGCCCCTCAAGATTTGAGCCCCTCAAGATTTTAAACAACCTGGCAATTTTTTTTTAGTTGTTAATCAGTAGCTATAACTGGACAGTTACAATTAAACCATTGCATTACAAACATTGTATGCCTGGATAACCTTCTGTTTTAAGGAAAAGTGAACACAATCCCAAGATGAATGGGCTGTCTAAACAAGAGTTACCAGGAGCGAAGTCAGCAGAACTGAGCAGTAGCTGGGGGAAAGGTAATTCTGGCAGTGGGTTATCGCAACCATTGACTCATTGACCACCTACTCAAAAGGGACACCAGACTCAAATGAAGAGAAGAATTGCATATGAGGACTAATTAGCATGAGAAGTAACTAGCAAATAGGGGTTTGAGTATTAATTAATAAAAAAGTTATGTAATCCACAACCAATTAATGAATAATGCCTTTGTTTACTAACATATATGAATAGTGTAAATTTTTCTTTCGGTTTGAGACAACCTGGAGGGGTAGAGACCTTGGAAGTCTCCTTTCTCTGATTCAATACCCCTGGTTCTCTCTAATACAGAGGGAGGGAGAGAGGGAAAGAGAGAGATATGAAACACACTCAGACGTAAGTGAAAAAAACCCCTCTTTATCAAGAAGATTGCTAAATCATACTGATAAAACTGTGTTGAGCTACCAGAAAAATTCCCAAGCTCCTGCCCACTAGACCAAAAGGAGATGGTGGCTGACCTCTCCCAACACGTTAAAACCTAGCAGGAATGGTTTGGAGGGTCATTGCTGGAGTGAGGCTGCAGTGATAGCACAGGCAGTTGGAGCAGGGCTGCAACTGCAAGGACCCACAAGACACCCACCGGATCCAGCGATGAGACCTGGTTGCTGCAACTCCGATGGTGGTTGTAGCCCTGACCTGCTGACATGGTGATGGAGGCCTGGGTGGTAGAAGTCCCGTGGAGTGAGGGAAGGAGATCTTCAACCTGCTGAGTGAAGTCTGAGTGTGGTCTTTTACTGGGCTCAGGGCAGGTGGGAATGCCTCTGGTACCTCGCCTGGGGTGGGGAGTTCTTCACTGGATGATTAATACTGGATCACAGGACATTTCAAGTGTCTTTGGCACCTTCTAAACACGGGTGGATCCGTTATGGCCATCAGCAGAGATTAATATCTTCAGGCCATATGAGTGAATTGTCCTGATGTCTCCCCAGGGGAGTTATCACAGGTGAGTCATTTGCATAAGGACAAAGAAATAATACCCAGCTCGTAGCCTGAGGTGGCAGATGTGCACCTCTTCTGAGTCATCAGTCTTCCTACTCTACTAGGAGTAGGAAGAGTACCTTAAGTCCCTCCCCACATTCTAAATTAGTAGGCATATTTGGAGAAAAGAGAAAAGAAAAGGTGGATACCAGTCTTTGTGTAAGCCAGGACAAATTTTGATGATCGGTGAGCCAGCCTTTTATGTGTTACCAACTAGCTCCCTACTTCACATGAATTAGAATAAAAAGTGAAACACCTTGCCTTGGTGTGTGAATTGATATTGTCCATCAGGTAATGGTCACGTTCAGGACAACACACTCACTTGAGTGACAAGCAGTGACAAGAGAGAGTGGTGGCATTTGTTTTGCAGTTACTCACTATCTGGGATACTGCAGGACAGTATTTTCAGTCTCCTATGGGCAAGTACTTTCCTTAAACAGCAATTTTAAAAGACAGTACATTGAAAATAAAAGTCTTACTCTTTATTTTATGTCCACAGCCCACGGCTGCTGAAAAAGTATTGCAAATGCCAAGCTGACCTAGAAAGTCATGCATTCTGTTCCACCTCACTATTACTCTACTCCTTGACAGCTTCCATCCTGGTCTTTGAACCAGGAGTGAGACATAATAACAAAGACAAGAATCAAAGGAAAAGGGGAGAGAAAAGAATCAAGACTGGAAAACAAAACATGCTAGAAAAAGAACTGTCTTAACTTTTTAAAAAGCCAGTACATGAGTAATGTTTCAAAGAAATTTTAATGAAAGACAAAAGTCTTGAAACTATTTAATATTCCAAAATGGTAAGAGACTCATATTTTCACATGCATCTGTGTAAACAATATACACATTTACTCATGAACTCTCACAAAGACATTTAAATATGATTTAATTGTTCCTTTTTTCTTCTTTTTATTTCTTTTTAACTACTGAAACCATCTCCTTTAATTGCATGCCAAAGCCTGAGAGTGTTTAGAGGCACTTGAACACACTGCCCAAATAAGTGAACCAGTTAGATTAATTGGCACCAGAGGTACTGTGTGCTTTTAGATAGTACACATAGAAGATTAAGAAAAACTCTCAATATTTACTAGTTTTAGAACTCTGTTTGCAGAGCTTTGTTTTCTTTATGGATTGTGTCTATGTATCATGCTGCTATTGATTTTCGCAGAAGAGGAATGGGATGTACACATCCAGTCACAGTGTGGGTCTACAAAATATCTTCCAGACTGAAAAGTATAGCCTCCAAAAAGTATAAATTACTGCCTATTTTCAGTCACAAAACTATTCAGAAAACATACTGTGCATACCTCTGAAGAGGAGAGGGTAGAGGAGAGGGTCACAAAACAATCCCTCAAATAATTAGCGGATTATTTATATTTGCATTTCAGCAGTGCCATAAACAAATAAATGCTTAGGGTTAGACACGGATTCAAATTTCCAAAAGTACACCACTTTTTCAATCCTTTTTTTCTTTGATTCTCACTTTTCAGTATCGTAGAAAATTTCAGCAGGAATGATTTTTCTGGGGCTGGCAACATATAATCTTTGAAGTTACTCAATGTCTTATAGTACCCCGTGCCTTCTACATTCCTATATTGCTACTTAGGAGTTCAGACTCTGCATCTTATGCAACAGCCACAGTAGGCAGCTGCAATTTGTCTAAGGCTTCTGCAGTTGCAATAAGTGACTGGGCATCATGGGATAAGACAGCTAGCCAAACAGCTATTGCAGAGTCGGTAGCATATTTGAGAAATTTTGCAGCTCTTTTGAGCACACCTAGTACTTCTAAACTATATTTAATGGAGAAGCAATGAAAGAAAGAACTGAATGACTGTAAAGAATTTTATTATTTTTCATTAATTAACTTTATTAACAATAAAACCAGCTTCAGAAGTCCCTTGTGAAGTAAAGGAATATTTCTGTCTTACCATACTAAGACTAGAACTGAAAAACCAAGAGTCTGATGACAGAGAGAACCTGCTTGTGGAAGCAGCATTAAGTTCCAACAATCCTTCCCACCTAGTGCTGCTGTGTGTAAATCTGTGTCTCTTCATCAAACTTGTAGTGAACTGGAAACATATTGTCAGCTTAGCAGGACTGGTAACTTGGTGGAAAGCAGTTGGCAAGGACAGAGTAGTTGCAGTCCTAAAGTTTCAAAATTCTTAAAAAATTGTAACCTGAGTTGACTACATAAATGATCCATGATCTTGGTCCCATTAGGCACCATAAGTGAAAGGGGAAAAAATCCACAAACCTTCCCATGACAGCTGTTTTCCTACTATAGCACGTTTGGCACCAAGTTTGTAGTAACTGGAAGATGAAATCATTGATCATGGACCTTGCACACTTCAAAATCCAGTCAGATCTCCTACATTGATGAGGACTTGCTATGAGACATGAGAACAGTTTATGGCCCACGTACAAAGAAAGGGGATTCTTTTGACCACATGTGAGATATGCCTTCTCAGATGGGTGACAAGAGAAGATGTCAGGAAAGATAAACTGCTTTTCTCCATGATAAGATGTCTAACTATCCTCAGCTTTCAACCTCAGACGTGAAAATATTTACCTTGCAGACCTTTTCCATGAATGCAGTTTTGCATTCGCATTTTGTTATAGGTTAGAAATCCAAGGGGGGGAATTTTTTTTCCCCCTGCCCCCAATGTAGGAAAGATGGAGTTTGAATGGAAAGGGGGGACTATTAGCTTTACAAAAGAACCTAGCTGGCCGAACTGCATTCCTAGCAGATGGTCCATCAGAGGCTGGGGGGGAGAGGGGAGGAGTTTTTGGGGGGTTGCTGGGTCTCCTCACAAGGGAGAAGTGAGATTGCTGGGTTCTCTCTCTGGAACTGAGACAGCATCTGTGTGCCGGCAGTTTTGGAGAAAAAAGCCTCGAGGCCGGTTTTTTCACTGGCCTTGACTTGCTTGCAAGCTGCCTTTGCCTCCAGCCCAAATCTGCTGTGTTTTCATCAGAGAGGTCTGTGCTCACTGGGAGAAAAAAGGAGGAGCCTTGAAACACCATCATCTGAGAACAACAGTGAGTCCCGTGGGGGTGGACTGCTTTTCCTTCTGCCCTTCTTCCATTGGGGGAAGGGTCCCCATTTTCTTTTCGGCTTCTCCCGTGATCCGAGACCACCCCCCAGACCTCTCCTCGCGTGGTGACCGCCAGAGCCCAACAGTGCCCCCTGCAGGTCACGACAGAGCACTGCAGGCTCTGCACCTCCAGAGCCCAACAGCGCCCCCTGCCGACTGTGATTAGAACTGTGCTAAAAGACAGAGAAGTATTCAGACTTTTTCCTTTGTTTGAAGAGGACTTTTGGGTACAGGACTATTGTCTGGTTGGGTTTTTTTGTGTTCTGTTACTGTTCTTGCCAACATACATATATCTTTTAATAAAGGGTTGTTATTTCTTCTTTTTTTTTTTCCACACTTCCTCAATTAGAACCCCTTAATTTGGATTGCTGAGAGAGAGGAGTTTGGTCTATCTCATAACTCATCCTCTTTAGCAAACATTCAGGTCTCATCAAACTGAGACACACTTCCAGCCCAAGGTCTGTGATGTTATGACACTGTCTGGAATCAGACCTGGGCTGTAAAGTCAACAAACATTGAGCAAATGGAGATTCATTGAAAGAGAATAGTATTTGATTCTTTTTCAATAAATTGATCTATTTGTTTTCAAAAGCACAGCACACAAATTGAATATGTTGGCATTTTTAACTTTCCCTGGTACAATAGTGCTTTTTAATGTGGTGCGTTGCTTACAACAAATTCAATGCAATTCCTCCTGGACACCTCAATTTTTTTTGTTGTTAAATGGGGGTTTTATGTATAAATATATATGTATATTATTTAGATGGTGAATTTCTCCTTGACGTTCAGACCCTCGTGGAGTGCTGTGCCTACTCACAGTAAGTGACAATTTAGTCTTCAAAGTATTATAAAAATTATTTACTCTGAGTGATACTGAGTGACTTAACTGTTTCAGTTGAGGCTGTAGGGTATATAGTAAACATCTTGCCTACAAAACCTATTTCAGCTACTGTAGCTTTCTGCAAATCTATAAAAACTCATGTGTTTACTTACGTAAATTTGGAGACAAAACCAATTCGCCTGAGAGTTTCAGATGGTGTAAAGAGATTACACTATTAACTGTTAATTTAACTACTAATAACCATTAAATTTTCATTAAAGATTTACTTATATGCAATCAGGTTTTAACACTTTCAGCAATAATAAGAAAATACAACGCCAAATCTTCAAGTGTTCACTAACAAAGGATAGTGGTTGGGCTTGATGTCATAAAAAATGTTAATAAAAAAGCTGAACTCCCCAAACCTTTAGGAAAAAACCAGCAGCCAAAACAGGTGCATTACCTTTCAGAGTAGTTTTGCAAATCCTGAGTGCAGGCTGTACAGAAAGTATAGCAAATTGAATGAGTTTTCTGTATACTTCCCCTGTGAAACAGAAAGAATAAATATTGACATTCTGTGGCTGAATTATTTACTCTTCTTCTTAATGGTTTATCACACCTCTCTGGAGACTGTTGTGAGGATTATATATCAAAAGTATAGAGATCTACTGCTGTTTCTTCGTTGCTTGGAGTTAGAGCTTGTGGTCCAATATTGGTACAGACTCAGGCAACTTACATCCAATAGGAGGCAAATTGGTGGTGTTGTACAGGCCCCATACTGTGGTACACAGTTTGGGCAATTGATACCCACTACAACGACACATAAAATATTTATGCATGTGAAGCATAAAACAGGGTAAAAGCCTCAGTGACTTGGGGACTCTTTTGAAAAATAATGTTAATGTCATTCATATATTGTGGAAAATTTTACCACGTTGTATTGGCAAAAATTTTGAAATGGTTGTCATTCCTGTGCACTTCCAGAGATGACAGAACACTGAGATATAAAACCCATAGTGCCCTTCTTTCATCTTAGAAAAGAGAGTGCAAGCTCTGACTTTTAAATTCTTTTGATGCTTTTGAAGCCAATATTCAATACAAAGTATGTTAAACTGGTTAAAAAGAAACTGCTTCTCTACCATGTTTCAGCAATTGGGGCTGAAATACAAGGCAGAATGGTCTGAGTGCTATTTTTTTGTTTCTGTTACTTTGATAAGGGAAAGACAAAAAGAGAAAAAAAAAGACCACAGATAAGCTGGAGGATTACCAATAGACATTAAGTAGGACACAATGAATCAGTAGCTGTGCTGACAATTTAATAAAGGTGCTGTTGTTCTGACACACATCAGGGGCAAAAGGTTAATCAGAGGCAAGAGCATACTAAAATTTAGGGGCAGGGAAAGATATTTAAACCTCCTGAAAAATATCAAAAGCTCACTTTTGAACTTTTTCACCCTGCTTCTTTGGCATCTTCACCTCCCCTGGAACAAACCAAGATATCCTGATCTCATTAAATGACTTTTAACTTGCTTTTCTTGGAAATGTATTCCATACAGCCATCATTCACCAAGTAAAGAAAACCTGTCATTTTTCTATATTGACTCAATTTCGTAGAGTACAGGTTGCTCTTGTGTGTCAGCTTTTGAACACCAGAAAAATTATGTCAGTTTCACATTTAGAAACACCATTCTGGGATTTTTTAAGTGTCCACAAAACTGTCTGATATTCCCCACTAACAAATACTCTCTGAAGATTAGCCCCACAAACCCCCATTATATTGGTTCACATTCCTCTTACTCCTCCCCATTAGTAAATTAACATACTATCCTCCACACCAGCCCTTTGATTTTTTTTTCTAATGAAAGTTAATTCTAACACCACTGTTAATGCCCCATCCTCCCTCACCTCAAGTTGCATATATGTCAACACCCTGCATTCTTGACTGTCTCTAGCCCAGTCTTCACCTCTAATGATTTCTTATGGTATTCCCATTGAAAGCAATTAGCAGCATCAGAGCTCATTCCCTCCTTCCTATTAGTGGACACATAGTACCTTTCCTCTCAGCCTGTTTGCCTGCAGGCAGGACAGTTGTGGAGACAAGTATTCTCTGTTCTTTTCACAGCTTCTTGATGAGGGCATGTCATGTGCCTCTTTTCCCTCCAGGAGGAAAAGTCAGTGACTTCAAGAAGGCTTTATTAATCAGTTTTCAACTTTGGTGTCGCAACTATTCACACCCTCAAACAAAGCATCTTCCACCTCTTTTTCTTGTATGTACCTGTACCCTTTACACTGCACCAACACTGCAAATGGGGATCTTACCCATTTATTCTGTTCTCTCTGATCAGCCTCATATCTGAGCAGCATGTGTTAAATATTTCACTGATTTTCTAATGGTCCCTTTTCTTGTCTTTTTTCAATTTAAAGAAAACTAGACATCTATAACTTCTTAATTTAGAACACATTTCAGTTGAGTTTTCAGTGCTTGAGGACAAGATGTTTTCCCCTGGTCAATTTTGAGATATAGTGGCAACTGTGGTTTCTAAGTGGTTTATATTCATTCTGGCTTCCACTGAAGTTTAGAGGTCAAATTTGGACAAGCTTTTTCAAACATTCAGAACCATTCTGGACCATGTTGATCTCCTCTTTCTGAAGACCAACTCTAAGACACATGGAATTGGAATTGAAGCTGAATCAGGGGAAGTTCAAATTGAACTAGGAAATGGTTCTTCACAAACAGGGTGGTTGGGCACTGGAACAGGCTCCTGAGGGAAGTGGTCACAGCACAAAGCCTATCAGAGTTCAAGGAGCATCTGGACAATGCCCTTAATCATATGGTTAATGTTAGGTGGTCCTGCAAGGAGCAGGGTGTTGCACTTGATGATCCTTATGAGTCTCTTTCAACTCAAGATATTCTGTGATTCCTGACAAAGTACTTTCGTAGGAGGAACAAACGTCAAAGTGGAAAAAAAGGAGAAAACATATCCATACTGTATTATATACTTTACATACCTAGATTAAGCACAGAACAGACAGTTAAATTAGAAGCTTAAGTTGCAGTTAAAGGAAAAAGAAAACCATGCTCTGCAGGTACCAAAGGAAAAATGGGGTCTGACTCAGTTTGGTACTAATGTAACTAAAAGTATATAGTTTGAATAGCCCAAACAGGACATTAAAATGAAGATTTTAGGGACAGAGAACCGGGGACAATTTTCTGCCACGTAGCATTCTCAGATTAAAACCAAATGTCATTCAGACATGAGCTGTAGTTCAGCTACACACAGTTGTGAACAACCACAAGGAGAAATTCAGATTATGTCATGGAGATAGTTAACATAAATGACCACTAATGACATTTTGGACACAAAAACTCATTCACCAGATCACCTGGAGCCAAACAGATACTTCTGTTGGGTTTTAAGATTCCTACTTATCATATCATCAGCCTGGAGTACTTCAAGTCTTTCTATAGCTTTACTCCAGTTTTACATTTCACCTTTTATGGTAAAAGAAGTCACTAAGGCAAAGATTCTTGCTGTTGGGAGAACATTTTTCCTAACATAGGAAAAATATTGTCCAGAAGTTTTTATTTGCAACCTCTTCTAAGTCCTCAAGGGAAAGTTCAAAGAAGACCACAATTCTCTCTAACCCTTTATGTTACACTAAATTAATTGCTAAAAAACCCTTGCATTTGATTAATCAGTTTAAGTTTATACATTGATGTATTCCTTGTTGTTTCGTTAAAAAAGGATATTCATAGCCTAGTTTTCTGGCACTTGTCTTGAGACAGAGTGGGGGGAAAAACCCTACTAAAACTCAGTAAGTAATTTCTCTGTTTATTTTTTTCCGATAAAGAACGCATCCTCAGCTCTCCTCCAGACACTTCGTGCTGCTCTGACAATAGGAAGAGCCAGAATATCCTTTTAACTAGTTACTTGGCATCCCTATTCAAGAGAAGAAATCACCCAGACTGGATGATGGATGCTTTTCCTACTCTAAACTGCACAGCAGCCACAGGTCTGACTATATGATCAAGATTCATGGTCTGATAACTGTCCCATTCCTAATTATCCAGATGACCATGGATAAGGCTGTGGGATGGCCAGTGTCTTCTTCACCTTGGCCTTTGCTGATATCGTCTCCCAAGCCTCTGTGTTCTAGTGACAGAGTTCAAGGAAGAAAGGAGGAACTGGGAGATGAGGATTTCTAACATCTCATGAGAAATCCTGTCCCCCATGGGTGCACAGGACCTGAAAGGACAATCCAAAGGTACTAAGCA